ATATGTACGGTCAGGAAATTCAGAGAAAAATATCCGTCAGCACTGAAACATTTAGGATATTTTAAGGACTACTAGACCTACATATGATAAAAATTTCAGATCGAAATTCTCTTCATTTATAAGAGAACATTGCTGGTGAATTTTGGGATTTCTTCGGATTTTTCATGGATTGGCAATCCTGAAAATCCGCCGTTTTCGCCTTGGTTTATTTACATTAGTAACATTAACAAGTGAACCAAATAGAAAATTATTTCCACCAAAATCATGTAACATATTTCATATATAATAATGTCCATAAAATGATTCAAAACAAGAATATTGTGGAGCAGCTTCAGAGAATAGATCAAGTAGAATTAAATGACCCTAAACATATGTTGATGAAAATATCTTAATAGGAACAATAATATTATTCTTACTATAGGAACTTTACTAAGATAGCTTTTAACTCGATCAGTCTTCCAGAAACCAGAGAGAAATAACCAAGCTTGCATTACCCTTAATCATAAATCAAGAGAAATAAATATCTTATTAATAAAAACAATTATACAAAACAGCATTTGGATCAACTGTTTGCATAACTCGAATAATACCTGCATTAACATCAGCCAAATAATCAAGTTCACTATATGAAAAATAATATAATAAATCTCAATATCAATTAATTAAATAAAACACATACCTAAATGGTGGATCCATTTCATTGCATAAATCACAAGCATAATAATGTGAAGTTAAATTGAGTGAATTGATTGTCTATATTATAAAATATTTCACGATTAGGAAACTTTTGTGTCGTATCTAATTTACATACTTCGGTTAATAATTGAACGCCAACTGTTTGAAAAAATGGATCAGTAGGATCAAGATATGGTAAACTAAAATATATTTATTGATAGACATTCTACAAAAGAAAAACAAACAAACCAAGATTCATTACAACCAAAACCAGCCCAATTTGATGAATAATAAAATTTTGCTGAAGGAAAACGTCTGGAAAAGAATGCAATTCATAGGATAATAAATCATTTATCTGCCTTACTTTGGTGCTGTTTGAGGCATAAAATCAGTAAATGCAGGTAAAACTGGTATTATTCCAATATCAGTCATTCGTTGAATAATTTATTTAGCAAGTCGAAGTTGTGATTGCTGCCAATTGTTCGATAAAGGACCAGCATGTTTTTGAAGATTACCCATACGAAACCTTTTAATTTTTTGGTTGTCAATAAATGAATAAATCAAATAATGAAATTTTCTTACCAAGCTAAAAATGCAGGACCAGTAAAATATTCATCAAGTTCAGATTGAGGAAAACCCATTCGTAAAAATACCTAAATCGAATAAAAAAAAACAATCAATTTTTTTTTTGATTATCACGTTTAAATCTAGACTTTATTATAAATATATTCCATAGCAGTTGCTGCATAGACTATATTAATACCGTTCATAGCCATCCAATCAATTTCTTTTTCCCATCTTTATATGAAAATAAAAAAATTATTATATAAATAATTGAATTGATGTTTTCTTTTTTTTTTACCTTGAAAAATTCCAAAAAAACAGCTGAATAACTAAATGTACATGGATTTCCATACCAACGATATAAATCATTAACAACAATTCGAATAGGTGTAGATATTGGAATTAATGATGAACCAGTTAAACGAATATTTTTTCCTGACCAATAGACTATACAAAAAAGATAAATATATTTAAATTGAATTTTATTATATATATATATATATATATCATACATGAACTATCTGCTACATATTTCAAATAATAATTAAAACCCCAAGCAGCAGCAACACCAGATGATGCTGAAATTAATATTGAACCTGACATTGATCCATTTGAAAGTTCAAAAATATCTTTGCCATTAACAGCTAAATTAGTATTGATTGAAACTTGAAAAAGGCGAGCAATTGGAACACCATCAAGTACTCGTGAAATTAAATCGGAAATAGCTTGTGCTGTTGATGAAGAAGCAATTGGTTTTGGCCATTGAATTGTATTTGCAATTGCATTGCATCCTTCAAAATAATATAACTTTGTTCATATCAAATCAGAAAGCTTCGAAACATGACTACTAAATTAATAAGAATTGTGCTGTTCAATAAGTACTAAGACAAAGGTACGACAGTATTATTTTTCAGGAAAAAACTTATTCGTTTTGGATAAGTAAGGCACTATCTGGTGATACTAGAGCCCATTGGGTATAAAAATTTGGATCCAGACCTGGATCAGGGAAATGGACATTTCGTACCAATTTTTCATTACGATCTTCCAGTAACGGAGTTCGTTACGAACTCCGAACACACGGAAAAAAGACAAGGTGTTCGGAATTCGATATTCGGGAGTTCGGAATGACAAAAAATCAATCAAAAATAAAAAACAGGGTGTTCGTAATGAAAATTGTCTAGGACAAAAATTATTTCCGGACACTCGGACACATGACAGGAGATCGGAATGACTTAGTGCGAAATGTTCGCCACTAC